GGGGGGGGGGGAGGAAAAAGTGCAGAGCCAATGAGAACTTCAGCAACAGAGAGAGCTCGGTTGTTATTTTTGATATATTCTATTTTTAGCACTAAATGATGAGTATTTATTATATGTGCTTTTTGTGATACTAGTATCATTCTATTTCAATGAGTACTAATTTATTTAAAATTTATGTTTAAACTATAAAATAAAAGTGTAAGTTCCTAAAGATAATTATATATATTAAATGTGCATAATAATAACTAAATAAATAAAGAAGCTCTCGTAAAAATCTTCAATCATAAGTCAATTATTCAGCTTAAAATTTATTTCAGTTTAATAATATTATAACTTTAATTTCACAAGTTATCATGCTTTCTTTTTCAGTTTCAATAAAAACAAGTCCTTAAAAACCTTATAACATTAATTTCACAAGTTATCATGTTTCCTTTTTCAGTTTTAGCCAGAACAAATCCTTAAAAATCTAAATAGTGTTGAATGATAACTTAAAATATATAATCAGTTAGTGTGTGTGTGTATATATATATATATATATATATATATATATATATATATATAATCAGAGAACTAATAATCTACAACTTTCATATGATCACAAAATCAAATTAAATAGCAATGAAAAAAATACATTTAAAAGGATACTAAAGCAAGCTTGTGAGAGAATTTATAATTGAAAGAAGACTTTTCCATGACATATTAACTCTAGAGAATGACTTAGAATTAGAATTAAAAAAAAGGTAGTGGTGCATAAGGCATCTCGCATAATTTAAGTGAATGATCTATATAAAGTAAAATTTCAAATTTCTAAGTATTAGAAATTTTAGTCCAAAAAAAAATTATTAATTTTAAACTTCTAAAAATTATAAAAATAATTAAATAAAGTATTTTTTTATATAATAATTAATATTAACATGGAGGGACTTCAGATTTTCTTTTTTGCTTATAAAAATCAAGTTTAAAATGAAAAAAAAACATTAGTTTTAAATTTTAGTCTTTTATTGTAGGTATTTTATTAAATAATCTAGAATTAAAAATATAATAAGCACATATCTCTTATTAGTAAAAGAAATGGAAAACCAAACGTGATAAAAGTAAGTCCTATAAATTAGGATTCATACCTATTTTAAACAAGGAAGTATGTAATATACAAAATATAATTAATTTTGAAGCCCTAAATTGAAGGCAAATAACTTAAATTACTATTTTATCCAATATATAATATATTTTTAAAGGGTAAAAAAGGCGAACGACATTTTGCTAAAGACCTTCGTGCTTTTAATATAGTATAGATAGATATAGATATAGATTAAATTATTAATAACCTTATGCAATTAATTAAGGGGGGCGTTTATTAGAAAGAAAATGTTGTCCAAAATTCTTCTTTCAGTTTTTGCAAAAATGTTTTTGAAAAAAACCGAAATTTTAGAATTTTAGTTTAACCATCAGAATTTTTTATTTAATTTTTTTACAGAAGCTGAAAAACAAGGTTAGTTGGAAAAAAAATCTGGTTCCTGTTTTGTTTTTGTTTTTTAATGTAATTTGATAAAACGGCCAAATAATTATTTTCTTTCGTCTCAATAAGAGTTAATGTATTCAAATTATACGGTTCAATCCTTCTGAAAAAAAGTCGGGAGGATTTTTTTGTTTCCCATCTGATATTTAGTGGATGCCGATATTGAGTGTGAAAAGGAAAAAAAATCTTTTAATTTACAATGTAAACTAACAAACGTTTTTAACTTTTTATAATAAGTTCTACATTGTTAAAGTAGGAGTATTATAAATCACAATTTTGTATAGCTAAAAATTGTGATTGAAGAAAAAATTATTTAGTTCTTCAAATAATAATAATAAGGTAAGAAGAGTAGTTAGTTTATCAATTTTGATTTCGATGATATTTGGAGGATATACTCATGATTAAATTGACACTTTTGTCTATACATAAGTTTTTAATTTTGGGAAATTTGTTTTGGTTGAATGAAGTTGAAGGAATTGACAAATCAAAATATTTCAACAGAAAAGCTGTGAAAATGACAAATAAAATTTAGGAGTCAATAGAAAATTTAAAATGTACCAAACAAAAAAGTTTATATTTATGCACTGACTGTATAAACTTTTTTATTAATAAAAGTTCTTTTTTTTTCAATAATATCACTAAAAATGAAACTGAATATAGTAATAAAAAATTAGTACGAATATAAGTTAATTATCCCAATGAAAGTTCTCTTCGTGGCTAAAGGTGGTTGGGACACGTGGACTGATCATTTTAATTTGCAAATAATAATACTAACACTTTTTATTTTAAAAAGTGATTTGTTTAGGCCACCAAGTACACAGGTGTACACTCAGTAATAGAGCTTGATATAATAATCCTGTTTACTTAATATTTAATCAATCTGCGTTTGAATAAATTAGACACTTCTTATTTAATTAATCACAAGGTAGATTTCGCAATCTATTAAAATATGAATTAACTCCCTTTATTATCGGAGATTAGAGTTGGATGTAAGCTAGTGTATTTTTTTAATCTTTTGGGTGTTGTCTTTATTTGGCATGTTACTTAACACTAGTTAAATTTACAGCTTGTTGGACGGTTGTTATATATCGTTACATAATATATCGTATTGTATTATATTATATTACACTGTAATTATTTAGATAAGTTGTATTGTTTGCCGTCGTTTCATGATATCATACACTAGCAATATGAAGAATAAACTTGCAATATTACAAAGAAAGTATGATACAAAATCGGTCGATACATAAAGTGACAGGTACAATGCCTGGTCGAAGGCCTAGTATCTCTCCCATGTTCTATCGATGTGGAATTCACCTAGGGTGTCACACATTCCCTCTGCACATCCCCCCAGGGACTTAGCGTCCTTGTTGAGGTTTGTCCGTCCTTGCTGAGGTTTGCCCCACCATCGTCTAAGGTTGCACACGAAGTGACACTAATATCATATATAACAGCTCGACCAAATAGTGATATTGTCCGCTTTAATTTGGAGCTAGGATTACACGGCTTTATAACGCTTCACTAGGGTCTAACGCTTGTCTACTTATATACTCAGCATCTCTCTCATATTTTGTCGATGTGAGATTTGCCTAAGGTGTCACACAGAGGCGGATCCAGGATTTCCGAAGGATGGGTTCACCGTTACTATTTTAAAAAAAAAAAACAATCAAAAGGTTGGTAGGGGATTTGATCCCTTGACCTTAGGCTATTGGAAATAAGAGACCAAAACTAATGCACCACTTGGTCTCTTTTGACCATGGGTTCCATCAAGTATATATATATATATATATATATATATCCATTTTTGCCAAATTATGTACATCATATCTATACTTTAACCCGAGAACTACGGGTTCACGTGAACCATATTTTACATGGTAGATCCGCCCCTGGTAACACCAGACACTTTTCGTCGTTATGTAACAAGGAATCTAATAATACATACAATAAAATTTAAATAACAATCAAAACAAACATTATATTTAAAGTGATAATACAATACGGTAAATAGTCATCCAAACAAGTTGTTAGTGTTTGGTACCAAAGGGTTATCTTCTTCTTTTTTTTGTTCGATTTCATGAACAATATCTGGTATTCGTATTGAGGCCCCGACTTCAAGACCAAGCAACTGTAACGGTTGTTTTAGACCTAAAAAATATTTAGGCCCCAGAATTTATAACATAGTAGTATATTTATATAATTACTGCTAATTATTAATGAATATGTCATTTTTTTCAAATCCGAAAAGGAATTAATCACAATATTCCAACTTCAAATAACTACTGTCCATTAACTAAATTAAAGTGAAATATATATAAAAATCACTAACTCATTCAATATTAAATAAAAGTTGTCACCAACTAAGCAAAATTAATTCGTAAATGTTATTAGTTGTGAAGGTCATTTAAATTTATTTTTGAACATACTAATCTGCATACATATTAATTATATACATATTCTGAGAAAAATATTAAAGAAATAGGACATTTTACATTCTCTAACAGTTGTTTCAAGATTTTTGTTCAACTACTCTTTATATAGTTGTTGTTCTTTATAATACACAAAGACATTTACACCCTGTAGAGAGCTTGACCTTTTGCTTTACAAGGAAAAAGAAATTATCAAAGATTGTGGTGGGATTCTAAATTTTTTTATTCTTAATTAAAGATTTCGAGTTCGAATTCCGAGATTAAAAAAATCCTAGCAAAGAGTGTTTCCCTTTTATATCAAGCCTTACACAACGCAACTTCAAATTAATCAAGCCAATAGGTTTCGGATATCGAAAAAGGGTATTCTGGTGCACAAAATATTTTGCATTCACGTAGGATTAGGGGAAGGGTCGCATCCCAAGGGATGTGATATAGACATATCTTAATGCAGACATTAATGACTGCTTCTACGGCTCGAACATGTGACATATATGTCACACGAAGACTGAATATCGACTTTACCACTGCTCTAAGGTTTCGAATATCGAGTGAGTTATATAAAAAAGGGAAAAAATGTTTTGACTATTTTGCCCAACATCTTGGAGGATAGGAACTAAATGCTTAATAAATGTTTAAATAACTAACATGAGAATTGAGATTGAAATTAGCCAATCAAGTCAAAGGGCCAATAATAAAATACTACTACAATTTTACCCATAAATTATGGGTTATACGTCAGTTTGTCTGCTAAAGATTCAATCTTACAGTTCATTCATTTGACCCCACGTAAAATTTTGTCTTTTTTCAGTCTATTTTTCTTGAACTAGAGTAAGGGAATCTTCAAAAAAAAAAAAAAAAAAAAAAAAAAAAAAAAAAAAAAAAAAAAAAAAAAAAAAAAAAATTAGAAAGAACAAACTTTAATATTTTTCTTTTTGATAATTATGGTATTCGGATCAACTTGCGCAAATCTCGACTATATGATTGATGTTAAATAAAGAGAAATAAGAGGAAAAAGTGACACTATATAGCCGCTCTCAAAATAATAGCCGATACATATATATACACTCTGTATATTATATACAAAAATTATACAAATTTTGTATATTTTCTCAACTACCGAATATAAATAATTTCTGACGCGGGCTAAAATTGAAAGAACTCGAGCACTGAACATGGGTCATGATAATCATATATATGTAGGGTATACGTTGAAATTAATTCATATTTTGGGCAAATTAACAGCTGTGCCTTTTGTTTTGTTAGGAATATGATTAAATTAGATGGCGATATGATATTTTTTGAATCCTTATGTAAGAAATTACAACAAAAATTCTTTAAAAAAAAACGTGAATTAGAAAGGATTGGTCAAAGAAGTATGAAATGAGGACTTTTAATATATCTTCTATTGCGTTTTAATTTTTTCGATATTTTTTTGCTTAAATAAGTGTATTTAGTATGATGAAAAATATTTTTCGAAAATATTTTGTTTGAGCACGTGAGATGGAAATTTTTGTTCTAAAAGACATGTCATGAAATAAGAGTGAGATGGAAGTTTAAAGACATCATGACTGCGTAATTCTCAAAATTAAATAAAATGTTCCAAATTATTACTATGTTTTATTATAAAAAAATGTTTCAAATTATAATGTGTTGGAAAAATGGCAGACATAATTATCTCCAGTTGTATGCAAATTTAAGACTTTCTTTGTTAAATTTTTGGTGATAACTATTGGTTAAATACTTAAATAGCCTATTTGGCCAAGTATCTTTTTGGCATGTTTTTTTTATATATTAAAGTTAATTTGTTTGGCCAAATTTTTTGGGAAAAAAAAGAATATTTTTTAGTAGAAGCAAAAGGAGTTTTTTAGAAGCAGGAAAAAATAGCTTCTTCATAAAAATACTTTTTTTGAAAAACACTTTTGAAAAAATTGAGAAGCACTTTTTAAAAGTTATCAAACACTAATTGCTACTCAAAAATGTTTTTCAAATTGACTAGCCAAACATAAATTGTTTGTCGTTAAAAGTATTTTTTTGAAAAACACTTTTGAGAAAAGCGACGACAACAATAAGTGAAGCCTGGGGAGGGTAGTATGTACGCAGCTTATCCCTACCTTGTGAAGGTATAAAAGTTGTTGCCTATAAACCCTAGGCTCAGAAGAAGCATAGTCATAGCATTAGTTGAAAAGAAACAATAGTGTATAGACCACGAAAAGGAAACAATAACACGAAATAATACCAACAATCATAAGATAACAAGAAATTGTAGCAAAAGAAACAATCGGTAATAATACAAGTTTAAGTATAAGAAAATATGAAAATACTATTGATTCTACAAGTAGGAAAATGATACACTCGCGACCGATTACTAGCCTTCTATCCTAGTTTTCAATCTTTAAACCTTTCTATAAACACTTTTCAAAATAAACTGATTTTAGAAGCACGACCAAACAGGCTATAAGTAGCAACACTTCACTTAGAATCGACCTATTAGGCAGGCGAGGGTAGCTTGCCGATAAGTAGCCTTTTGTTTGATGATAGGAGGAAAGGTAATTGACTGCAACCTTTTTCGGCCTATTTGCTATTGAGCAGGGGTAACTGAAGGAAGACAGCACAGGGCAAAGTAAAGGACAAAGCTTTAAGTGAGTTGTTAGGGCTGTCGAAGAGCAAAGAAAAAAGTAAGTGCGGTATAATAATCAAAGATCCTCTACCCTTAGAAATCTCGGATTGGAATTCTTGGAAAGAAGTTTTCTTTGTGAGACCACTAATCTCCTATAATAAGTACGTGTAATAATGGAAAATAATACTATATAGCCGCTGTAAAAATAGTAGCCGGAAAATATATAAAATAAGTATAATTTTTGTATATATATATATACATTCTGTGTGTTATATACAAAAATTATACAAGTTTTACACACTTTTTTGGCTACCAGATGTAAATAGTTTCTGGCGCGAGCTAAAAATGATAATACCCCAGTATTAATTGTAAAAATTGCACGGACGCCCTATTTGGTCTCCCTATTTAACCTATACCCATTTTTTAAAAAAACTTTTAAGTTATACCCACTTTTTAAATAACTTCAGCTCTCTTTCTCCTCCTTCTTCTCCTCCTTCATTTTCTTCTTCTTCTTCTTCTTCTTCTTCTTCTTCTTCTTCTTCTTCTTTAGGGACTCTCATTCGTATTCAATTTTAGAACAATATAAAAACCTACGATTTTGATATCATTGAAATTTCCAAGTTCGTTGTTATTCCTTAATTGACTGGTTAGATGATGGCTGGTGAATGGTGATAAAATTGCATTTGCTCTTTCTGTGTGATTAAATGTGTCGTTTAAAAAACTAATAGTACTATCTAAATGGTTGTTTCTTTAGAAAAAAGAATGATGAGCAATGAAAAAACAGTTAGGTTTTCCTCATATTGATCCTAATTCATGCTATGCCGTGTGTTGCGAATAGCTAACGAGCATCTTCTTACTGCCCAGATTGCTCAGAAATGCTTAATAGCAATGGACAAAATGCTATGCATGTTGCTATATTGAACACTCTATAGCTGAAGTTTCCCTGTTACAAAGACAAAAACTTCAGCTCTAGAGCTGAAATTTTTGTGTTGTAACTAGAAACTTCAGCTCTAGTATGTAATATTAATAGGTGGTAAAAAAACTTCAGCTCTAGAGCTGAAGTTTCCCAGTTACAACACAAAAACTTCAGCTCTAGAGTTGAACTTCAGGCCTGCTACTAGAATGCTGAAGTTTTGCGTGATTGTCTTTGCTACTTCAGCCCCGTATGCTGAAGTTATGCGAAAAGCGGGTACGCTTGCAATTTTTTTTGCAAAGCGTGCACAAGTTAAAATGTGATACAAAAAGCGGGTATAGATGCAAATGCCCCGTATTAATTGGGGGTATTATCACTCTTAGCCCACGCCAGAAACTATTTATATTTGATAGCCGAAAAAATGTATAAAATTGTATAATTTTTGTATAGAATATACATAATGTATCTCTATATATATACAAAATATACATTTTCGTCTATTATTTTGAGAGCGACTGTACAATATCGTTCCCTTAATTAGGTCAGTAATTAATTTCGGACACCAAAAAATTAAAAAGAAAAAAGAAAAGAAGAAAAGGACAAGAGGAAAGACATTAGAGCAACGAGCATTAAAGTACGTTACGTGCAGTCCCCATCAACATTACAATCCCCCAAACAACGTGATTGAACATCACATATTTCTGTGTAGGAATGAGGATTTTAGGATTGATATTTTTTGAATAAAATCTTAATGTTAACGTATATTTTGACGTTTCAAAAAAGTTGAAAAAAACAGTTTTGTTTTTAACGATAAATTTAACTTTTTAAGCTAAAATATCTTTCAAGAATAAATTACAATACAAAAACATTTTTCACCTGAACACGAAAAAGAAAATCCAACAATATTTCGTGGATTTCAATTTTGTGATTCACTAGTATATTATTCTGAATTTTGAAATTGTTATGGACAAAATATTGCTAGTAAATTATTGTATATTGTTTGAGTCAAAATACTAATGTAATGGCCAGCAATTAAAGAGACAAATATCTTTCCAAATTTGTGTCAAATTCATAATGCAAAGATTTTTCTACTTATAGAATTTATCCCCCACCAAATCAATTGCTTTCTACTTTGTAGCAAAAGCAATAGTGTTGTCTAATCAATCTTGATCCTTTCCTATGTAGTAATAATAGTGCGGGCTAGCCACTTTTCAGGCCGGTAACCGAAAACTAGCCACTGACATGAAGTTTCAAATTCCACAGGTGAAACTTCACGACAATATCCTGGAGTTTCACTTGACATAAAGTAGGACGGGGTAGCATTTTCCATAAGGTCATTGAGATTTAAACTCGTGTACTAAAGTTCACATCGCGATATCTTTGTCACTGAGTTGTTCCTTTGGGCACAACCATATCAATATTAGAATTGGCGCAACTTACACGCGCAAATGACAAAGGAAAAAGAAAAGAAAAGAAAAGAAAATGTAGTTCAAGAAGGTAAAATTACACTTGTGCAAAGTACAGAACCAAAGTTTTGTGTCAAATCTAATATTACAGTTCACAGAATCAAAATGAAAGTACATGACCTGCTGACCATTTTACTCTGGGGAGAGTAGTGTGTACACAGACCTTACCCATACCTTGGGAGGTAGAGAGTTTGTTTCCAAAAGACCCTCGACTCGAGAGGATGAATAGAAACAATCAAATATCAACAACAGTAGCCAGAAAAATGATAACAACAAAGTAAGAACTAGGAGAAGAGCAATAGCAACAAGCATTATTTTGGCAACTATGATACATCAAATACTTTCTGATATTCTCATTGCCTGACAAAAAATAGGATGAGCATTACATTTATCAAGATGCTACCACAAATAATCAATATATGTAGTAACAGCTCAGCAAAGAACTACAGCTCGAAAATATTGAAGAATGAGTCGATTAAGCTGCAAATGTATGCAGATAGTACCTCAGGTTAAAATGTAAGAATAACCTCAATAGAGCTACTTACTATTTCCGACAGCCTTCGAGTTTGAACTGCAAATCCTAGACTATGTATACTTCCTCCTTGAACTGCTTCTTCCAAGAATAAGACAAGATAAACCATGATATACATGCACAAACCTTCAGTCGAAAATTCTCTCCCCTGTTGACAGTGCTAGAAAAACAAAAGAACTAAAAATGCAGAGCAACCCAGGAATGGAAAACACTGCTGTCCAGCTTTCTGGACTTGTAAGATCCAACTGGGCGTCTTTAGCAGCTTCGAGTAGTCGACCAGTGAGATCAACTCCAACGATACCAGCTAATGTACCAGCTGTATTTGAAACTCCCATAATAATTCCAGCATACCTTGGAGCTATATCCATGTGATTAACTGCAAAACCGGCTCTTCCTAATGCCAAGAAACCAAGAGCCACGGAGGAACAAAACAGAGCGCCGCCAGATGTTCTAAAATAAGGAAGAGCCATTAACGCAAGAGAAGCTACAATGAAACCCACTGTGTTTAAAAGTTTTCTGGTTTTAGTTATAGACAAGATTCTCCTCGTGACTAAGTGATCTGCAAGCACTCCACCAATATTTGAGAATATAAACATGTTAAGGTAGGGCATCATCTTGGAAGAACCCATTTCTTGAAGGCTGATCTCGAGACCCAATTCAAAGTACGTAGGAAGCCAGTTCATGAGCACATAAAGAGCATAATGAAAAGTGAAGTTATTCACGACAATTGCCCAAACTGGTAAGCTCATGACGATTCGTTTCCATGGGATAGTTGGATTTTTGGCAGAATGTACTCCATTCTCTACTTTCATCTTTGAACTCCCTTTCATGGGCAGTAGGGATTCCCCGAAGCCCGACGCAGTTGCTTTTGGATGCTCAGAACGAGGTGGATCAACTGCATAACTGAACCAGAGTAGAGACCACATTGCACCTAAAGCCGCTTCAGCAAGAAACACAGATTGAGGACCCTTATACTTCACCAGACTAGGAAGCATAAGCATTCCTGTAGCTGCACCTAAGTACATTCCAGAAGTCGTAAAGGAAACAGATCTTGATCTTTCATGTGGTGGTACCCACTGTGCAAGGACAGTGTGGATGGATGGAAAAATGAAACCTTGAGCCACACCGACAAGCAAGCGGGCTATTACCAGGACCATCGTTCGGTTTGGGTCAAGTGGTACAAAAGCACATGTCAAAGACCATAAAAGAAAAGAAAGGAGGAGGACACGCCGTCCACCGATTTTTTGAGCTGCCCAACCACCAGGTACTTGTGAACATGCGTATCCATAGTAAAAGGTTGACAGAATTACACCTTTGCTAGTCTGATTTACTCCTGCAGCATCAGCAGCAGCAGTATACGCAATAGAGAAGCCCACCCGCTCTATGTAGCAGACAGAAGTGCAGATGAAGGTTAAAAATACTATTAAATAGCGCTTTGGAAATCGACTGCTGCCCATTCTTTGCTAGTTTGTAAATGCAATCCATACACTAGACGGCTTGAATTTCTGTTGAGGTGATCCACTAAACCACGATATGCAGCAGGCTTGAAAACAACAGACAGAAAGAAAGAATCAGATCCAAAGAGTTAGCTGATTTAGTAAATTTAACGATATAGAAATCAAACATTAATGGCCAATCACACAAAGTCAACTCAAAGAGATTCCTAAAAGGGGAATACTGGAAACAAAGGGAGAAAGAGCACAGACGGCAGGGAAAACGCAACTGAAACAAATGGTACAACCCATATTTTGCATTTCAACTCAACAATATCACTTCAAGGAAATAACTTCTAATTTCTCGATTGGTGCATGTCATCCTTGCGCCATGCTAATTCTAAGAAGACATCGTTCAGATATTACTAACAGTTAAGAGGGTTCTGAATGATGCTAATTATACAAGAAGTAGCCTTTCTCTTGAAGCTTTAGAGATTTAAAAAAGTTTCCCCAGATAGCTAATGGACAGAAGCATATTTGATCACTATATAGTAGCACATCACAGAGAATTGGCCGTCACAAGAAATTAATTACCAGAAGAAGTCACACCTGATAATCTAAAGTTCGTTTAACCATATGTTTAGCAATGTCAGAGAACACTTCGATATTCACCAAATTAGTCCCCTAAATTTCTCCAAATTTGAATTTTCCTACTCAAAACTTCAAACCATTCTAATTCCATTCCCAACTAAACACATAGTTTTTAAACCCAACAACAACAATAATAGCCCAGTATAATCCTACAAGTGGGGTCTGGGGAGGGTAGTATGTACGCAGACCTTACCCCTACCCCGAGGGGCAGAGAGNCAAGATAAACCATGATATACATGCACAAACCTTCAGTCGAAAATTCTCTCCCCTGTTGACAGTGCTAGAAAAACAAAAGAACTAAAAATGCAGAGCAACCCAGGAATGGAAAACACTGCTGTCCAGCTTTCTGGACTTGTAAGATCCAACTGGGCGTCTTTAGCAGCTTCGAGTAGTCGACCAGTGAGATCAACTCCAACGATACCAGCTAATGTACCAGCTGTATTTGAAACTCCCATAATAATTCCAGCATACCTTGGAGCTATATCCATGTGATTAACTGCAAAACCGGCTCTTCCTAATGCCAAGAAACCAAGAGCCACGGAGGAACAAAACAGAGCGCCGCCAGATGTTCTAAAATAAGGAAGAGCCATTAACGCAAGAGAAGCTACAATGAAACCCACTGTGTTTAAAAGTTTTCTGGTTTTAGTTATAGACAAGATTCTCCTCGTGACTAAGTGATCTGCAAGCACTCCACCAATATTTGAGAATATAAACATGTTAAGGTAGGGCATCATCTTGGAAGAACCCATTNAATCCATCACCAGGGCAAATAGGAAAGGGCTGAACGCCGACCCTTGGTGCAACCCCGTAACAACTGGAAAATGATCGGAGTCGCCTTCTATTGTCCTAACCCGAGTCTTAGCTCCATCATACATGTCTTTAATCACCCTAATGTATGCAACCGGGACCCCTTTAGCCTCTAAGCAGCTCCATAAGACCTTCCTAGGTACCCTGTCGTACGCTTTCTCTAGTTTTTAAACCCAACCTGCGAAAAATTGTTAAGAACAATGGACCTTGGCCTAAATCAGTCCCCGGTGCTAGCTTATGAGGTAAAGATTGTCTATGACCATATAATGATATAACATCTCATTCCNAGTGAAGTTATTCACGACAATTGCCCAAACTGGTAAGCTCATGACGATTCGTTTCCATGGGATAGTTGGATTTTTGGCAGAATGTACTCCATTCTCTACTTTCATCTTTGAACTCCCTTTCATGGGCAGTAGGGATTCCCCGAAGCCCGACGCAGTTGCTTTTGGATGCTCAGAACGAGGTGGATCAACTGCATAACTGAACCAGAGTAGAGACCACATTGCACCTAAAGCCGCTTCAGCAAGAAACACAGATTGAGGACCCTTATACTTCACCAGACTAGGAAGCATAAGCATTCCTGTAGCTGCACCTAAGTACATTCCAGAAGTCGTAAAGGAAACAGATCTTGATCTTTCATGTGGTGGTACCCACTGTGCAAGGACAGTGTGGATGGATGGAAAAATGAAACCTTGAGCCACACCGACAAGCAAGCGGGCTATTACCAGGACCATCGTTCGGTTTGGGTCAAGTGGTACAAAAGCACATGTCAAAGACCATAAAAGAAAAGAAAGGAGGAGGACACGCCGTCCACCGATTTTTTGAGCTGCCCAACCACCAGGTACTTGTGAACATGCGTATCCATAGTAAAAGGTTGACAGAATTACACCTTTGCTAGTCTGATTTACTCCTGCAGCATCAGCAGCAGCAGTATACGCAATAGAGAAGCCCACCCGCTCTATGTAGCAGACAGAAGTGCAGATGAAGGTTAAAAATACTATTAAATAGCGCTTTGGAAATCGACTGCTGCCCATTCTTTGCTAGTTTGTAAATGCAATCCATACACTAGACGGCTTGAATTTCTGTTGAGGTGATCCACTAAACCACGATATGCAGCAGGCTTGAAAACAACAGACAGAAAGAAAGAATCAGATCCAAAGAGTTAGCTGATTTAGTAAATTTAACGATATAGAAATCAAACATTAATGGCCAATCACACAAAGTCAACTCAAAGAGATTCCTAAAAGGGGAATACTGGAAACAAAGGGAGAAAGAGCACAGACGGCAGGGAAAACGCAACTGAAACAAATGGTACAACCCATATTTTGCATTTCAACTCAACAATATCACTTCAAGGAAATAACTTCTAATTTCTCGATTGGTGCATGTCATCCTTGCGCCATGCTAATTCTAAGAAGACATCGTTCAGATATTACTAACAGTTAAGAGGGTTCTGAATGATGCTAATTATACAAGAAGTAGCCTTTCTCTTGAAGCTTTAGAGATTTAAAAAAGTTTCCCCAGATAGCTAATGGACAGAAGCATATTTGATCACTATATAGTAGCACATCACAGAGAATTGGCCGTCACAAGAAATTAATTACCAGAAGAAGTCACACCTGATAATCTAAAGTTCGTTTAACCATATGTTTAGCAATGTCAGAGAACACTTCGATATTCACCAAATTAGTCCCCTAAATTTCTCCAAATTTGAATTTTCCTACTCAAAACTTCAAACCATTCTAATTCCATTCCCAACTAAACACATAGTTTTTAAACCCAACAACAACAATAATAGCCCAGTATAATCCTACAAGTGGGGTCTGGGGAGGGTAGTATGTACGCAGACCTTACCCCTACCCCGAGGGGCAGAGAGGCCGTTTCCAGGAGACCCTCAGCTCAAGAAAGCACCAAGTGACGATATATTAGTACCATCGATAGACTCATAATAAAATAACATAAAATACATAACATAACATAAAGGAGCCTAAAATAGCAAAATAACAGCAATATAAGAGAATATAGTAAATACGAGCGAGATGGAAGGTAAACTAATACCCAGCGCATAAAGCCCTGCATCAGTAGCTGACCAGTAGCATCCTAAGCCTAACTCCTAACTGGCTAGGCTCACTCTAGTACGCTGTAGAAATATTCACAACTTCCCCCTAACCTTCAACCTTAATGTTCGACCTCCACAATTCCCTGTCTAGG